GGGGGCATGCCAGGCTTGGCTGCGATGCCCAGGAGCAGCCCAGGTTCGTGCCTTTGCACAGGGTCGCTGCCGGTCACTGCCCAGGCCACTCGCACAGCACCAAAACCACCCCAGGGCTGGATCATTCACCTCAGACATGTGTCGACTTAATCATTACCAGCACTTTTACACTTACAAAACTGTTTCTGGAGCAATTTCCCCTCTCCTTCCTCAGCCAAGAGCTGGGCTGGGTGGTGGCTCCTCTGTCCCAGTCCCAGCTCCGCTCCTGGCTTTAAAGAAAAAAAACAAAACCAAACTTTCAACTGATCAGATTTAAATTTAAACCATCATGTTGGTGGAAAGTGGTCTGTAGGTGGAGGTCCCTCCATGTAGCCCATGGTCCCCACGGGACCTTTTTGGGACCACCCTGACTTCAGCAAGCCAGAGCTCGTTTAAAGGCGATGGTAATGTTTCCACAGGGAGTTTTGTCCCTAATTAGACAAACCCATCAATGCCTCGTGCACGGTGGCTGGAGGCACTCCAGTGCCAGCGTCTCCTCTCGGCATCTTCCAAGCGAAGCGGATGCTCGTTAACGAAGGCGAGCAAAGTATTTCTGCAAAGCACAAAGTTCTCATAGCAAAATCCGCTCGCAGAGGGAGCTCAGCTTCTGCTGGAAAACCATTCCAGGCAGAAAATTCCCCATCAGCTGGAAATGAGTCCGAGGCTGGTAGGGATTTGAGCTGGAAAATGCTCCGTTCCCAAGGCGTGAGGTTCAACTTTGTGAATCCTGAGCGTGAAGCAGGTGAAGCACTAATCAGGCAGCGAGATGCAGAGTCACAGACAGAGACCAGACGGGACAGCCCATGTCCCAGAGCAGCAGCGTGTTCAAGGACTTCCAGGACACAGTGACCATCGCCGCGCGGTGCTGACCCCACTGGCCTGTCACGCCGGGCAGGAACGCTTGTCCCAAACAATTTGATTGTAAATAATATTTCTGCGCTCCGCTCTGGAGCCCCTGCCAAGCCAGAGCCTGCTCTTGGCTTTGCTGACGGTGATTCGAGGCGTTGGGGGGCTGGAGGGTGCAAAGGGGGGTCAGGAGCTGGCATCCCCCTGCCTGGGGTCTCAAACAGATCAGGCTGGCTGTGCCTTCGTTTCCCTACCTGCAAGCTGAGGGTTATGCTCATGTTTGGGAAGAAAAGGGCAGCTTCTGGGGGTGTAGGGATGCTGGTCCACATCCCCGTGTCCCTCCCAACATGGGATGCTGTCAGCTGCCCTCCCCTCGCGGCCGAGCCGCCCTGGCCCCACCGGGCGCCGGTTTCATTAGGGACCCGCTCACGTCGCAGGGCCCTTTCCCACGTTGGGGCTGTCACACTGAATTACTTCCCCGCTTCTCAGCGCTGCGCTCAATAGCCTGAGCCAGCTCCAAACAAAGTCCTTCTCCTCCTCGCTAACCCCCCCCGCCCCAACGCAGGTAATTAATAAAACAAAGCG